AAATCTATCGGATGGCCATGATGCCTTGCTAGGGGTCAATCTTGGTCTGTGCCAATCTATACCCGGATTTTGGCATGAAGAGGAATCGATCTGTTAGGAATCGATCTATCCAATGCAGCGGAAAAACAAAATTAAAAGGATGAATCGATTCCTCTTTATGCCAAGATCCGGGTATAGATTATATAGTTTACATGTTAAAACAAAATTCTACATAAAATAAAATTAATCCATTCAAGGATTAGAAATCTTATGCACGTTTGGAGGCTCCTTCAAGTATCTCTAAATTTACTTCGCTACTGGTTCAAAATGGAATCGCACAAATAGTAATCCACACGAAGACAATCCGAAGAACCAAACCCTGTTTTGCTAGAACAATAAGATGATTTCAAGAATGAAAGGCTTTCAAAGAATCAAGAAGAGAAAAATTTCTCTTCAATCTTATGAACAGGACATGAGAGAGAGAGTAGGTAGGTGACTGGATTTTTAATTGAATAATCATATAATGTTTTAACTCAAGTTGCACTTATATAGTGCAACAATTAAAACCCTATTCCTATAAGGAATAGCCATAGGCTCCAACCCTATTTACTTGGTATTTTAAATTTTAATTAATTATTATTATAATTAAAATCAAGTAATATATTAACATTTAATTAATAATAATAATTCATTTAAATATATGCGTACATATATTTAAATATAATATCACTAATTTAATTTTAATATTAAATTAAATATAGGCAACAACCTCAGCAAATTTAATTGCACTGTGAGTTTACCAGAATACAATTTCATCCTAAAAGACGAAAATACCCCTTTCATAAACTGATTCTTAAATTATCTTCTAAGTGTGTGACCCGTAGGCTTCTCATCATATCGGCAGTAAGGAGTATCGCAATTAACACCAATGAATGGTCTCATTACATACATACCAAGATTGGTCCATAGCAAGGCATCATGGTTACCAGAGATTTGGATTCAGCGAAATAGCTACCTATCAACGGTATGGTTACCGTGCAATCAAATCTTTTCATCATCTGTTATCTCATTGAGACTGAGGTACAAGTTTGGTGTCAACCTCAATTATTCTTGATATCTTTGTATTCAGTTACTAGACCAATGATTGAAATAATAAATTGGATTGAGCAACAACTCAATCCCATTGTAGCCACAGCTTTAGTGTCATTGTCATTCACTAAATTGCGTCGTGAGATAACTTCTCTCGTGCCTGGGAGTGATGAATCCTTTGTCGATCCACCATAGTCTTGATACACTCCTCGATGTAACTAATCATTACCATATTGATAGCTTTAAATAGAACTACGTTTGGCTAGTGTCAAACTACATCAATCGGTGCACAATGCGCTCTGGTGATCTCAAGTCTAAGGATCACATGCACCACCATTCGTTAGAGGATTTGTTATATAGACACTAGGGTTACCATCTATATGAAATCCTCTTGTGAGCCAGTCCAGTAAACTTGCCTACAACAAGCATCATGTGTTGCACCAGGTTATCCTGCAAACAACCTTGACAAGCGAGATCAGTCACTGCCTTTCGACATGGTCGTTCAACACTATGATAGTCTTATCGTATTATCTGTGTCCTTGGTCAGAATAATATTGGGGCTACAGACATTTCTAGAATGGCTACCATATGTGATTGTAGGGTTCTCACTATCAAGATTTGAAACACTTGATACCCTCGTCACGGTTCTACCATCCTAAAGACATATATCAATACATACAATTATGATTTACATGATATAGTAGAAAACACCTTTTATTGATTAATAAACATTATTACAAAGAGTCAATTCTACAATAATTGATTGGCTTTAGGGCACCTACTCCAACAGGGTCATGAACATAGGCAACACATCCCCATGGTTTTAGGAGACTCAAATCGAGTTTCTGATTTGTCCATAACTCATATGGTGTAGTAGTAATATATTTGGAGGGTACTCTTGTCTACTTGTGAACATTGCTTAACTGGAAAAACAACAAGAAAACCATTTGGAAAAGCAATAAGAGCTGAAATTTCATTGCAATTAATTTATTTTGACATATGTGGTCCAATGAATATGAGGGCTAGACATGAGGTTGTTTATTTCATCACATTTATAAATGATTTCACCTGATATGGTTATGTCTTTTTGATCTCTCATAAATTTGAAGCTTTAGAATGCTTTAGGAAGTTTAAAAACTTAGTTGAGAATCAATTAGATAAAAAGATAAAAGTTCTACGAACTGATCGAGGTCGTGAATATCTATTTGGTCAATTCAACAATTTTTGTGATAAAATGGGAATAGAACGTCAATTAACTATTCTAAGAACTCTGCAACAAAATGGTGTTGTAGACAGAAGAAACAGAACCCTACTTGAAATGGTGAGGTTTATGATGGCACAAGCAAATTTGCCTATCACTTTTTGGGGTGATGCCTTATTGACTACCACATACATTAAAAAACGAAATTTCATAATTGAACACTAATAATAAATAACATTCAGCATATTTCATCATATTAACATTAAACATAAAAAAATATGAATCATGGTTCTGATACCATTGTTAGTAAAATAAGAATAACAGATATCTTAATTCAATCCCAAGATCATATCAAAAGTCATTGTTGCAATCACATTTTCATTTAAACAACTAAAATAAAGTTCATAACATAAATACCTTCTGTTTCTCAATCAAAAGCACATACCACCATCCTCTTGAATTTCAATAAGAATAATAAGTGAAGGAAAATATTTGTGTAAGAGAGTTTAGAGGAGAGTTTTTCAATGTGGCAATTGCCTTCAAGGCAACTGCTGCAAAAGACAGTTATCACAATGCAATAATATAATTGGGTGAGTCCTATCATTGGTGTCCCACCCATATCTAATAGAAAGTATTAAACTAATAGAAAGACAAAGAAATTGAGAGAGATTTTATAAACAAATAAGATGGGAAAAATAATCACTTATATATACAAAATAGTGTAGCGTTAATGTTTAGTATTATGTATTCCTAGTATATATTAGTTTCCTTATTTGATTTAGGTTTTATTTTTCATAAATTGTTTTATTAAATTTTATAATAGTCCCTATATTTTTGCTATACATAAGATATATCCTTATATTTCTGCAATATATACGTAAAAATAAAGAAATCGAGAAAGACATTGAAAACAAATCAAGAGCGCATGACACTACCTTGGAGGTTGCAGAAGTCAATAGATTTTTGTGAGGCAACAGAGTAAGTAGGAAAGAGAGATCAAGGTGTTGAAAGACAGGAGGAGTATTAGAGGACAGTAAACTAAAAGAAGATAAGGAAATAAACTAAGAGAAAAGGAGAGAAATTTTGGAAACAAATGAAATGATTAATAAAAAAGACTAGGAGAAATATAAAATGACGTGGCAACTGATATAGCAATGTCACATCACTTGCCATGTCACTCACGTGCCACATAACTAATTTTTTTTCCTGAATTCTCTTCTTCTTCTTCTTTGTCTTTCACTCTCTTTTACCTCTCTTCCTTTGACTTTTTCTTATCTTCCCTCTCTCTTTTATTTCTCTCTCTTTACCAATTAAAGAAAACACTGCAGCCAACTCACTTCTCCATTGCAACTGGCTACCGTCGCCGCCACCAACATCATCACTTTAAAAAAATTTGGATTCTAAAATTGGATTTGTAACTAAAGTACATTCTCAATCCCAAAAATACCATCTTAGTTCACCAGTACAACCAGCTAATGCCGTAGCCACCACTCACCACCACCACCACCACCACTACAACCACCAAAAACACTCACCACTGCAACTCCAAACACCCAACACTACCAACCAACAAAACACTCAACACTAGCTGCACAAAATCACCCAACACTAGTTTAAATTCCACATGAAATAAAATCAACAAATAAATCTAACAAAGTCAACAAATTCTTTTAAAAATCTCATAATTTTTTTCAAATAAAAATCACAAGGCTTGAGTGTGGCGGCTTAGAAGAGAAACATAATCACGACTTGAAGGCTTGAGCTTGGGTCAAGTCATGACGGGTTGCCGTTCGTCGGCAACCCATGCTCGCCCTTGCTCAAATAGACAAATATAGTCATGGATGCAGTGTTTTCTTTAATTGATAAAGAGAGAAATAAAAGAGAGATGGAAGAGAGGAAGGAGAAGAAAAAATCAAAGAAAGAAGGGAAAAACAGAGAGAGAGAGAGAGAGAGAGAGAGAGAGAGAGAGAGAGGAAGAAGAAGAAAAAAAAGAAGAAGAAGAAGGGGAGACAGAAAGAAGAAGAGAATTCAAAAAGAAAAAAAAAATGAATTGTGTGGCAAGTGAGTGATGTGGCAAGGCATCATGTGCCATGTCACTTTATGCACCATTCTTTGTATTTCTCTTTGTAAATTTAGTATTTCTGTGATTAATAAGATATAAAAAATAATTTAGTATTTATATAATAACAACATAGTGTTAATGTTGAGTAATCCTAGTATATTTTGGTTTCCTTATCTAGTTCAACTTTATTTTGTACAAATTGTCTCATTTTTTTTTAATATTAATCCTTATAATGTATTTCTATTTATTACCTATATTTTTGTAGTCGACGTTACCATTACATAAGGGAATTCCCACTACTACTCATCACCATGAATTATGAAATATGAATCTGAGTTTCTTTATTTAATTTCCTTAGAGATAGGGTTGCGAGAATGAAGGTCATATTTATTTCCTAATTAAAATAGGATAATATGAAATTAATTTGTTAAAACAATTTTAATTAAAGTGTATTTGTTTACTAATTCAAATAGGTTGATATTTAAACTATAACATATAGTTGAAAATAATATGTGTCATTCCTAATTGTTTCTCAATGAAAATAGAGTAATATTGGTCTAGTATTAGAATTATAAGATCTATGAATTTATTTATTTAATTATATAATTATACTATTCAATTAATTAACTAGCATTATAATTATAGATTACCCAAAATGCCCCACATCAAGCTGACATAATATACTTGCACCCATAGACCATAGTACTCATCTCTGAAATCGCAAAAGTAAACCCGAAGGACTTTCATTTAGATTTAACTATAGATTACGAAAACGCAAGGTACCCATCTCCACATACCGTCATCCCTTCCTCTCATTTTTAATTTGTATTTTGTTTTGATTTGGATTTGAGTGGCTGAATTGTGATCGATATTATACGATTCTGGTTTGGATTTGTGTAATTTTTATGGTTTTTTTTTCTGAAAAGTCATTCATCAAGTCTCTTAATCGTTAAGGCTCAGCTGTATCTCCTTTCCTTTTCATTTTTTATTTGGAATTCCATTAAACTCATCAACCAGACAGTATTTGATTGATTATCGTTTCCTTTATTTTGGTTTTGATCAATTTTACAGATCGAGATGTTGGAGAAGATCGGATTGCCTACAAAACCATCGCTTCGAGGAAGCAATTGGGTGGTTGATGCCTCACATTGCCAAGGATGTACCTCCCAGTTCACCTTCATCAATCGCAAGGTCTTTTTGCTTTTTCTCCTTTTTTTCATCTCGCTTTTCTTTAATTATACTATAATACCCTTCAATCATGGATTTCTAATTACTTGATTGTCCTTAGTGCTGTTGCTGATTAATCTAAATTTTGATTTTCAGCACCACTGTCGACGCTGTGGTGGCTTGTTTTGTAATAGTTGCACCCAGCAGAGAATGTATCTGCGTGGGCAAGGTGATTCGCCGGTGCGTATTTGTGAACCTTGTAAGAAACTTGAGGAGGCAGCTCGTTTCGAGATGCGACATGGACACAAGAGTAGGGTCTCTAAAGGTAAATTCTAGTCACCTCAATTGTTAAAAATCCATCCAGACACTTGAACACTTAGCATGATTAGATATTGCATAACTTTTTATGGAATATTTACTTAGTGAATTTGATGATAATCACTTATATCTGAGATGAATTGTCATGATTTTGAGTTTTTGTTGTATGGAATTTGCGTACTCTGTTTATAGATTACTTATGTCATATATGTGGCTCACCATTGTGTTTGTATGGTAACTTCACTTTAAATATTGCTAGCTTTTTGTGCAGGTAGTTCAAAACTGGCAGTGAAGGATGAGGATGAGGTTTTGAACCAGATTTTAGGTACAGATGGAAAGGGACTGGTATCCAATAAGGACTTGGGTTCCAGTATGCAAAGAGCAACTAGCAGCGGTTCATGTTCGAATACTCAAGATGGCCTGGGAGATATGCATAGAAGTATTTCTGTTGATGACCAGAATCCACTGCAGAATGATATTGGATCTGCTAGTCCTGAGGAATTACGCCAAAGGGCTGTGGAAGAAAAAAAGAAATATAAAATTCTGAAAGGAGAAGGGAAACCTGAAGAAGCTTTAAAAGCCTTTAAGAGAGGGAAGGAGCTTGAGAGGCAAGCTGATGCATTAGAGATATCCTTGAGAAAAAACCGTAAAAGAGTTCTGTCTTCTGGAAATGGAGCAGAGATCCAGAATAAAGACATCTTCAAAGAATCTGGTAGAAAAAATAAGCTACTTCCAAAAGTGGGTGCAGAAAAGGATGATTTCGCAGCTGAGCTGAGGGAACTAGGGTGGTCTGACATGGACATTCAGCATGAAGATAAAAAATCAGCAAGTGTGAGTTTGGAGGGTGAACTCTCTTCTCTTCTTGGAGACATCTCTCAGAAGACTGGTAAAAATACAGGTACTCATGGGATTGACACGTCCCCAGTTATTGCTCTTAAAAGAAAGGCACTGATTTTAAAGCGTGAAGGGAAGCTTGCGGAGGCCAAGGAAGAACTAAAGAGAGCTAAGATTTTAGAAAAGGAACTTGAAGAACAACAACTCTTGGCCGGGGCTGAAGAGTCTGATGATGAGCTATCTGCAATAATTCGCAGTGTCGACAACGATGAAGAAGATGACTTTCCAATTCAGTATGAGCGGGAAGCTAATCTTGATCACTTTGACATCACTGTGGGTGATCTTGGTGTTGACAGTAATTTTGAAGTAACAGATGAGGATATGGAGGACCCAGAAATAGCTGGTGCCTTGAAATCATTAGGTTGGACTGAGGATTCTGATCTGGCTGATAACGTTGCTCGCCAGTCTGTTCCCGTGGACCGGGAAGCACTATCAAGGGAAATTCTTTCATTAAAAAAAGAGGCCCTTAATTACAAACGGGCAGGTAACGTTGCAGAGGCAATGGCTCAGCTAAAAAAAGCGATGTTACTTGAGCAAGACCTAGAAATTATTCACACAGGCTCAATTTCTCAAGCTGATGAGAAGTTATCACAGAAAACTAAGGTGGATGATAAAAACACCGAATTTACGAAAGACATGCATTCCAAGGTTGCACCAAAGAGTAGATTGATGATTCAGAAAGAGCTTCTGGGTCTAAAAAAGAAGGCTCTTGCTTTGAGAAGGGAAGGAAGATTTGATGAGGCCGAGGAAGAACTGAAAAAAGGGAAGGTTCTTGAGCATCAGCTGGAAGAGACGGACAATGCTTCCAAAGTGCAGGCTACTGGTAATAAGGAGTCAGATTTAACATTTAAGCATTCTGTCGCATCTGTAGATCTTCCAGTTGGAGAAGGTGAAGATGATGTAACAGATCAAGATATGAATGATCCAACATACCTGTCAATTTTAAGCAACTTAGGTTGGAATGATGAAGATAATGGATCTTCGAGTCAACAATTACAACCTTCCAACCTGAAGAGAAGTAAAGGAGAAATCCAGAGAGAACTTCTAAATTTGAAAAGAAAGGCCCTGGCTCTTAGACGTAAAGGGGAAACTGAAGAGGCTGAAGAATTGCTGAAAATGGCGAAGGTACTGGAGGCTCAAATGGAAGAACTTGAAGCCCCAAAGGAGAATCTGCTTGATGCTTCGAAGAACAAAAAATCTGGGAGTTTTGAATCATTGAAAAACCATGACACACAGGAGAATCTGGTTCATGAGGTGGGAGTGAATACAGGATCAGCCCCTGTGGCAGTGGATTCTAATGACAACGCTGTTGAGTCTTCTCCGCTTGTTAAAAGCAATCATCGATTATTAGGAGAAGTGGGTCCCACTGGTGAAACTGATGTTACAGGCTATAAAGGAGCAGCTGAGGGCACTACCTTTATTCCTCCAACAAGCCAGTCTTTGAACTCAATGGATTTGCTGATAGGAAACAACTGGACTAGTTCTCAAATAACCGCTGGAAAACCAGAAGATAAAGGAAATCTTGGTTCTGAGATTTCTTCTCTTGCAAGATCTTCAGTTCAAATGGATTCCTCGTCAAAATTACATGAAAATCTGGGAAGCAAAAATGATGTTCAAAATGATAAAAGAGAGGTGGTTCAAGCAAATGAGAATCCACTTATTCATGAAGCAAATTCAGTCCATGTATCTGCTTCTCAGAACAACCAGACTTCCCTGCAGCAAGAAGTTTTAGCTCGCAAGAGGAAGGCACTTGCTTTAAAAAGAGAAGGGAAATTAGCTGAAGCAAGAGAGGAACTCCGGCAGGCAAAGCTATTGGAGAAGAAACTGGAGGATGACAGCATCCAGCCAAAAAGCAGCCCACCTGATGTGTCAGTAACTACATCCAACCTTCCTTCTGTTGGACAAAAGGAGCATGACACATCAAATTCAGCTCCAAAACCATTGTCTGCCCGTGATCGTTTTAAGTTGCAGCAGGAATCCCTCAGCCATAAACGCAAGGCCCTGAAGCTAAGAAGGGAAGGTCGAATGGATGAAGCAGAAGCTGAGTTTGAAATGGCAAAGAATCTTGAAGCTCAGTTGGAGGAGCTGACAGCTCATGATTCCAAGTCTTCTGTCAATGAGGCAGAACCGGTGGATGACATTGGTGTGGAAGATCTTCTTGATCCTCAACTTTTGTCTGCATTGAAAGCCATTGGAATAAATGATCCTAATGTGGTGACACAAGGCCCAAAAAGTGAAGAGCCTATGAAACACAGTGGTGGTAAGTCTGAGAATTTGGGCAAAGAGAGAATTCAATTGGAAGAAAGACCAGAGCCTTCAAAACATAGTGCTGGAAAGAGTGAAAGCTTTAGCCAAGAGAAAATTCAGTTGGAAGAAAGAATCAAGGCAGAAAAGGTGAAGGCATTGAACTTAAAACGTTCAGGAAAACAAGCTGAGGCCTTGGATGCTCTTCGCCGGGCAAAACTATTTGAAAGGAAATTGAATTCTTTGGCATCAAATTGAAGAATCAAGGATATATAATATTAGGAAAGGAAGTCTTCCTGGTATTGACTCTGGTTGATACTACAGTAGGTGAGGTCAGTAAATATGTTACATAAGAAGATTGCTAGAAGGTAATTGAACATTGTTCTTTCTGTGTCATATCCTAGCCTGTCTCTTAGAATTTTCTTTGGAAATATTGTATCTCAATGCCAAACATACCCTTAGTGTACTTAGTTCATCACAATGAGATATGGTTAAAAATGTTGAAAAAGTGACTAATTTGAGTTTAGCAAGTTTTGTACGATCTATGTCTATGCCTTTTTCTTGCTATTTCTCTTTCTATATGTTTGTGTTATTCAAATAAATTATCATATTTAATGGTAGATATTTACTGCACAAATATTTTTTCGCTTTCAGTGTCTCAAGTATTTTGCTAGCATATATGCTCAACAATGTTGAATAAGTGATCGTTTTATTAACTTGGCTCTGGCATGATATTTTATTCTTCGGATTATATTGAGATTTCCATTTGAAGGAGTTAAGAGTAGCCTTCTTCTTGCACTTTGTGTGTTTGTGTATATGCTGCTGAAGTTTAGGTATCATATTTTTATGCATGAGACGTGGCATCTGGGGAAAGTATGACTCTAAATCTTGTATAGTCCAATCTGATTGCTGTAGCTTTATTCTGATCTTCCTCAAATTAGTTTTGGTTTTAAATAAACAACTTCTATGCTGTTTTACTTTTTATGGAAGATTTTCCTATAGTACCTTGTTCTTTTGTGAGATTTCTTTTCTTGCCACTCTGCTTCACTGCCCATATTATAATTTCCTTTATATTAGGTAAAGAATAGTAGGATGCCTCCTTGGCCTAGTGCGGGTTTTTCCATGTGTGTTCATAAGAAGGGTGCTTTGCTGTTCAGGGATGTTGTAGATATGGAGATGGAAGGTTAGCTTTTTCTTCTGCATGCTTGATTGAGTAAATCTGAGTTAGTTATGTTACTTCTTACACAAGAGATTTGCTTTTCAATGAGTTTATTGCTATTCATATTTGTAACTTAATCTATCTGTGTAGGTGATGAATTAATGAGCTTATTCTTGAATGAACGTTATGCTTCCAATTAGATAATCATCGCCGATAAGTCCCCAACTTGTCCTTCCCTTTTCTCCCCTGTCCTCCCATGATAGATTAGATTTTATGGGTTCTTGTCAATGCCTGTAAGCAGACATTTGCAATGACATCATTTTGGCACTTTGGGTTATGGGATAAGGTCTTTGATTATTTATGAAAGCTTCACAATTTAGAGGCATATTAGGTTTACAAAGAAAAAAGTCAGTAATTCCACAGTATACCTCATGATGAATTGTAATGATGCCAGATATTTGTGCAATATTGTGCATTTAAGTTTGATTTTGAGTATGGGTAACATTAATTTTTTGAGGTGTGGTTTTGTAGTTATAGTGACCAAATGAAAGCCTTCTTTTGGACGTAGATATCTGTTGGAGCTAAGGAAAGAGAAGTCAACAAAAGGCAAGGTAAACCTTTATGTGGGTATCTGCCATCTGCTAGAGAAATTCCTCCAAGCATGACCGTCGATGGTGGTAGGTTGGCTACTAAACATGATGGAAAGCTTTAGGAATCTAAGACTGAATCGGATTTGCAAAATTTTGTTTCACCAGAGGTTTGTTGTACTCTATTATAATCTTTCTGTTCTGCATTTCGATTTACCCAATTCTTTATCTATGAATCAACTGAAACTTTCAGATAGTGAAGTCCTTTGGATGAATTAATTGGTGCATGGTTGGTGGGAAAGATACATTATACATAAATGGGGAATGATGGAGATTAATGATCGGGAAATTGCACTTGATGATATGTATTTTCTCAATCTCAGCAAACTTGATGAATGGAAGGGAATCATACTGGTATGTCACATTTCCTTCTTATTATTGCCAGAAGATCTCGTTCTTTGTGTATAGTTATGTGATTTATAGTTTGTGATCGTCATTCTTTTGTGAAAGTTATTTGCTATTGTTTCTGGTTTTTTTGCAACATTAGGAGCCGCTGGCTTTTTTGTTCTGAACCTAGATAGATCAATATTTTGAAAATATCCAGGGTATTAGGGTACTGAAGAGAGAGGAGAGATTGAGGAAAGGCCATCTATAAATTAGTTTAAATCATAAGAAAGTTTTGCAATTCACGCAGAAAACAAACTTGCTGCATTTTAGATTTTTTACAGTATGCATTGTTGTAGTGTCTTCCCTGAATATTGGAGAAGTTAATTGCTTTTGTGACAGATCTTAGCTTGACAAACCGTGGTGTATGGGTAGTGGCAGCAGCATCTGTGATGTAGGACAGCCTACAGACATTCGGATTGTAATCTCTAGGATGTATATTTATTTTCTTTCCTAATTTAAATAAAAGAAAACTTCCTTGTTTGGATTGATCTTCTATACTCGTATAGATTTATTTTATTTACTAGTTTTTTTTTTCTCGCTTTTGTTTATGATTAAAGGCCAAAATTATTATTGAAGGATGACTTGAAAATATGAATTGATAATAACGATGTTTTTTCTCTCAATTTCTATCTTTCTCCCATGATTCTCCTAATTTTCTCCCATTTCTATTCTTCTAAATTTTCCCCCTTTTTAGCTTTCTCTCCATCATTTCTTCTCTTCTCTGATCCCCATCAATATAAACATGTTCTTGCCCCTATTACATAAGCTCGGTTAAAATATTGAAACTGTCATTTGTATTCGGCTCAATGCATAGGTGGCACAAACTAGACTTATTCAAACTTGGTGCAAAACTCCACATAGCAATGTGTAGTTTAAGATATGTGATTGCTTATGACAATTATTCTGCTGCATATTCTCAGAATTTCAAGAGAAGTTAAATATTATAGGCTCTATTTGGTTCACTATTTTGGAGTTTTTAAAATAGGTTTTTGGAAAAAATTGAATTGAGTAGTATCCTGAGAAGTTTTTTGTACATTTTTTAATAGCATTTTCTGAAAATATTTAAATTATTTTAACCCCTTAGGTTTGTTAATTTAACTAAACATCCCAAATAATAAAAGTTTAATAAATTGACAAAAACACCCCCACCCACTCACATTTGCCAAATTTCGACCACCACCGTCGGACGGTGGTCGGAATCTGTCGTAATGATGTACTACCGGCTGGATATGGCCGGTAGTGCGTCGATATGGCATTTTTTGTCCAGATCTATGGTCGTCAGATCTAGCCTTTGACGGCTAGATCTTTTGGCCGTCGTTGATGGTCAAACGACAATCAAGATATGGCCATCGTTGATGGCCAAACGACAATCAAGATATGGCCGTCATCAACAGCCAAAAAATCTGGCCTTTTTCGGCCATATCCATGATGGATTTGTCTAGAAAAGACCAAATCGGCACACTACCTACCATATCCAAGCGGTAGTGCGCCATTACGACAGATTCTAGCTAGCTTCTGACGGTGGTAGTCGAAATTTGGCAAATGTAGGTGGGTGGGGGTGTTTTTGTCAATTTATAAACTTTTATTGTTGAGGGTGTTTAGTTAAATTAACAAACCTAAAGGGTTAAAATAATCTAAATATTTTGAGTTGAATAGAATAGTATTGTATTTGAAGAGAATTTTGAATATTGAAACAAATGTGTATTTGGATAGGATTGGACAGGATAGGGAAAAAGTAGTGAACCAAAGGGGCCCATAAATCGCTGAATCTGTGTGACCTAGTTAAACAACTGGGAAGGTTATAGATAGCAGTATCTTGTGTGAAGATTTTTAAACATTCAAAATCTAATTTCTTTGATTATGTGAAGTGCAAATATATTCATGTTTTTAGCACCTGTAAGGGTTTGAATTTGATCTGCTTTTAGCCTTATTGAGCCTTCCTTTTCTCACCCAGCCATCAGAATCTGAGTAGATAGTGGCATCAGACGGTGAAGACAAGGATGAAGATGACGACAATGATAGCAATAGCGATGAGATTGATGATAATGGCGACGAAGATGCACAGGTGCGTCTCTTCTTGCTTTTTTGTTTCAGTAAATATCATGTGTTGGTTAAACAATTTAGCTCCTTAAAAGTATCTAATTGCTATTGAATATTATTGTTTATTTAACACTCGCAAACCAATATATATAATCCACTAGTGACAATGCATAATGCACCTACAATTGCATCTATATTGGAAGTTAAATTTATCAAAAACAATTAAAAAATTTTAGATTAGATAAAAATATACAATTAAAAAAGGCTTCTTATATATAATGAAAATAATTATTTCCAACATTTTGCATTTAAAAAGTTTAGAATTTTAAAATTAACAAATATGAAAGGATTTAGAAAGAAAGGAAAAAAAAAGGATTTCATCTGTTCTTTTAAAAAGAAAGTGATGCTTGATTTATTTAATAATTAAAACGCAATAAAAGTATTTTTCTTTTACCATAATGATTGAACTCATTTCTGCAGGTGGCTTTTAGAATCTTTGTGAGGAAACATATGAAGATTGATGTCATGCGGGGTCTAAGATGATGTTCTTATTTTTAAAGTGACTTGCATGGTGTTTGGTTGCTAAGAAAAGTAGAGAAAGTGTATATAAAATAGAGGCAGGCTCCAAAAAATTTAGAGAGGATTTTAGAAAACAATCGATAATTCATCCCAAGGTCTCCTTGATGAAAAAGTAGCTCTACCTAATTTTACTACATCATTCTATTGTATACCCACGTGGGGTTTTATGTTTAGAATATTTGACGACAAAAATACTCCATTCTAATTTAATTGTGTGAATCATTTTCTAAAGTTATAATATGTGTTAATTAGTACATTAATCCCATTCATAAATTAATTATCCCCTCTTTATAGGGTTACTTCAAATATTGTTTGATTGACACAATTGCCACATTTTAATGGATTGCCGGATGGATTAACTTGTATGTTAATGTTATATCTTTTAAATCACGGTTTTTATTTTTTTTAGACCTTTGTTTCAAAGGATTTTATTTCAGTTTTTATTCTTTTTTCTTTTGACTTAATTGTTGCTGTGTGGTATTGGGATTCTATCTTTGAATTTTGCAAGGCAATATCTTATCAGATTTAGAGCCCATAGGGTAATTAATAGAATAGAAAAAATCAAAAATTAAGCATATACTACAAAGAATTGAAGCGTTCATGTCGTTAAAAAAGGAAAAACCCATTAAGATGGAACATATTGAATAAATTTGATCCAAGAGAAAAGCAGGCTGCAGTGAATGAATTCATGTTCAGAGAAAAGTTATAATAGGGGCAATTTTGAAATGAAAATATAATATATTCATAAATTACTTTTTTAATAAAATATAATTATTAATGGGGCTGTAAATAAAAATTGGTAGGGTTTAGATCACATCACTCTTTAGTAAAGCTCAAATAAAAAAGGTAGAGAAAGAAAGGTAATCCAGTGGGCAAGGAGAACAAGGACCAGAATCAAAAATAATTTTAAATTAAGACTATGAAGAATGACTTATTCTGTATATGATAGAACGTACCTCCGTACATTTTAAATTAAACTTGTCAATAAAAAAAAAAAAGTCATAAATAGAAGTTAATAAAACCAAAAGAGGGGCTAAATATATTTCCCTAAACACTATTCACAACGTCTAACAATCAATTAAAAACTCTTATCTATTTTTAAAAGGTTTGAATCATTTAGTCCAGTTAAATTTTAAAATATTACAGTCCCTATCAGTCTATCATGGTTTAAATTGAAATGTCTAATATACCCCAATTTTGTCTATTAGAAGAATAAAAATTAGGACTTTGAGATTAATATAATGAAATAAAAATAAAAATAATTATAAACAAAAATTAAAAAAATTTCACAAACTAAAATTAAAGATTTAAAATAAAAATTCGAACCAAAATTTATTTATAAACTATTGTCTTTGTTGTATTTCTTTTAACTTCTTTTTTTTTTTAATTTCAGTTAATTATTCTAAGAATTGTAAAACAACAACATAGACCAAAGCGTGAGACTTTCTTTAAACTCAGAATCACGTTAATTGGTTGTATTTGAAGAATGATAAATAAATAGCGAAACACATGTGTCTGTTATTAATGTGTAGATAATTGAATTGAAGTAACTTCCAATTCCATACTTATTAAAAAAGAGTGAAATTTGATTGGTTGAGTGGATGTAGCTTTGCCTTTTCTATGCAATTTGGGAGTAGTTGTTGTGCTGTGGGATATATACCAATACACAAACTTATTCCCTGGAAAATGAAATTTTATATTACACATTACTACGTAAAGCCTGTAGCTTGGCTTTTGCATTCTTAATACTCTCTTTTAAATAAGTAGAGGCATGTAAAGATATTATTCTTTCAAAAGGTTGTGCTGTAGGTTCGACCACTGCAACATTTTTATTTATGAAATGTAACACTCTGTTTGGTTGGACTGAAAGAGTTTTCTAAACCAAAACATTTTTGAAAATTTTTTAGATTATCATTTTAAAAGTGTTTATAAGATTACAAAACATATATTTTTGATGTTTTTCAAAGTGCTTACAAGATAATAAATATTTGAAACTTTTTAATTTGATTTGGTTTTTTCCTTCTTTAACTACTAACGTAGTGAACATGGTAGAAAAAACAGTAATACTACACTCTCTTCACAAACACAACGTATCAGAAAAAATTATGAAAAATATTTATCAATCTATCTTTATTCGAAAACAAATCATCAAAGAGAAGTGTAATTAAGACAATATAGAGTGAAAATGAAAATGAACAGATATTCACAGTAAACAAAAAAAAAAAAAAAAAAAAAAAAGATAACAAAATGTAGATGATGAGATAATGCTAAATTTAGAGTAGGCTTTAATCAGAAGGCTAATATTTAAGGATGCAACATCTACCTAACATGTACATTTTGGTCAGTTAACCAATTATATTTAAATTCAAAATACATACTGCTCAAATTACAAGATAAATATTATTAGTTTTTATACGTCTAATTCCATCATTTGACAATGACTAAATACCTTTCTTGATTCCTCCTTTCCTTGCCTTATATGGCCGGCTCCTTTCCTTTCATATTGTCTTTCCCTTGTCTTTTGGTAAAACATTAACATAATTTCACTTTATATATCATTAATTAGATTAATTAAATTTAAAAAAAAAAAAAAAATTGGATTCGTAACACATCAGGATTGTAAACTTGTAACATATACGTGCAAGAGTTTAGTTCCATATTTTATTTTTTGAATTAATAACAATATCTTATTCAAGTATTTGTCTAAAATGACCTTCCAAAATTTCCCGCTTTAAATTTAAATAAATCAATCATACCCCTAAAATATTTATATTTGTAACTTATTTTATTCACATTCTTATTTACTTTCATATAAGCAGAGATAATGGGATACACAATTAAATTATCAAATATTTAAAATTTGGAAACACAAACTCTTAATATTTTTATCAAGATATTAAAAAAGTACCACAAACATATAATAATATATTTCATAGTCTTATTCATTTAGAGGTATTCAATAATTAACACTATTAGACATCTATCAAGGGACACCTAAACCCAACAACCATTTGGTGGTCGAGTGGTGAATAGAACTCTTGGGGTATTACCAAGAGGTTTTAGTTCGATTCCCTCGAGTTTAATAGGTGACATTGAGGTTTATCTGATGTTAACTTTAGGGCCCTAGGATAATTAAGTGGTACAAAATACCTAAACATCCGATCACAAAAAAAAAAAAAAAAAAAAGGACATCTAACCTTGTGAAAGTAGCAAAAACACATTCCACTAAAATTAAGTTGAAAATAGCTTAAATCTCCTACCGTTTTTTTACCCTAACTATGGAAGAAAGGCAAAATAGACATTCATTAAACATATCATTCATTAAATTGAGACCTTAGAAGTTAAACCATCTTTATATTAATGGGGATTATGTTATTTAATAATTACCATATTAGACCATCCAACCATTCACCAAATTGGTGCAAGTTCACACAAATATTGATTGTAACATATTGTATCTCCAACTCATTGCACCAAATATTACACCAAAAAAATATTTTTAAATAATTCTTTCTTTTTCTTTTATTGTAATAACCACAATTATTTATTTTTACTCATTATTTTTGTATATATTAATTAAAGATTAGGAAAATTTTTATAAATAATAATTACTTTAGAAATTATAATAATTTAATAAATAGATTTATTTAATCAAATAAACATTACATTTAATATGAAAAATATTATTTTGTTTATGTCAAAAACAAGTCAAGATCTCAAAATAACTCTAGTCTTTCCAATTTTTGATGATCTTAGAAGATCCGAACTAATCTACAAAATATTAAATTTTTATTTAGTTTATTTTATTTTCTTTTAATTTTAGTTTTTAAATTAGTGTAATTTTATTTTGAGTTAGTTTTTATTTGAGTATTGTAGTTTAATATTACATTTAAAAGTTTTTTTTAATTTTTATCATTTTTTGAATTATATTATTATGATTTATTTATAAATATAATATAAATATAATCAATTAATTTAAATAAATACAAAAAAAAAAAAAAATTTGCTATGAACATGTAGCATTTTTGTGGTGAACAGTTTACACCAAATTTGGTGGACTGTTATCCACACCAAATTGGGCAGAGAATGCGCTGCATTGAGGAACTTCTTTCAGTTGAATGCCTTATTTTCCATTACCCATATAACAATCCCTAATTCGCATTGATGAATGATTTTAGAAAATAAAGTTTATTCTTTATAATTTAATTTTTTTTCCTTAAAAGAAGAGATGATTCAATCTTCTTCTCTTTTTGTCTGCTTGACCATCATGTGTCCCATACATGTTCTCACCAAAGGAAGTCGGAGGCTGGACTGGACCTACTCCTTTCTTTTTCATTTTTTATTTTAAAAAAAAAATATTGGTAAGGACGGTGCTTTCTATGAATAGTATTCACTTCATCCTCAATTAAAAAAGTTGTCAATAATTGCTAATAAATAACAGAATTATGTTAATAAATTTCAAAAACTAATATGTATATACTGCATTTTAAATTAGGGTTTTCTTATTTTAATTTTAGTTTATAAAAAAGTTGATCAATCAATTGAATAGTTAGGCCACGGTGTATTTAACTGTGCAGCACATGTTGGGAAGGGGAATGTAGACCCATTTCTCCTTTATGAACTATTATCAGAGTATAATTGGTTTTCTCCAGCTATAAATATTTTAAGATTCAACTGCTAATATTGGCAAATTGGACTAACTAGTTTTAGAAAAAATAATTTCAAACTGATCTTTTTGTTCTTTAATTAGAATTATAACCAAAACAAAACAAAAAAAACTAACAAACGAATTTGTATTTTACAAGATACACTCTAAACGCATCAAATTTTTTTTATCTTGTTTAACCATCATTCTCATCTAGATATATCTTTTTTTTTTTTTTTAAAAAAAATTCAAAAATTTAAAAAAAGTTAAAATTTCTGCTACTATCTTAAATATTTCGGAGATTTAGAATGTAATTAACTAATTTAATTCAAATTGATTCAAAATTGATCCGGAAATTGAGATGGTTTTCTATGCAATAACCTGTGTTGAATAGTTTGCAGAAAAAAAAAAAAAAAACACTAAATAAGGACTTAATTTGCTGTT